AGAGAGAGAGAGAAACTGTGTGCTGACACTATCGGACCGAAGAAACCGCCCTTATCAACGGCCAACATGAATCCGGAAGCGGGGCGACATGCACAAAGGACAAAAAATATGGCGGTGTATCTTTCCATGTTCCGGCGGAAGATTCATTCCCATTTTGCTCATACTTTGGGTGGTGGAGAGCGAAGGGCCGTTGCTCCGCTACTTACCAAATGTGCAAAATGAGAATGAATCAGGTAAGCGCGTAAAGTATCTCTGGAGCCTTTCTTTTTTTTGTTTTGGAGAATCTCTGAACAAGTGAGATTGAATCCTCCGCTTGAACATGGAAAGATACATTGCCATATATGTCTTGTGTGCATGTCGAGAGTAGTGCAGCGAGCCCGTTGGTGAACAGTACCGTTGAGTTTTTTTTTTTTTCTTCTTCTTTTTTTATTTATGAACTCCCTGGGCCTGGTCAATCAATCATGGGGCGTCGCCGTACGGCACATGAAATGAAAAACGAAACGATTGAATCTTTCTGCAGAGAATGGCCAGGTTCATCGGTTTGCTATAAATAGTTACGAGTGTATTTTGCCATCTTTCGTGGGCAGATGCACTCGTTTCGTTTTCGTTTCGTGTGCCGTGTGGCGAGGTCGATGATGTCTCGCGGCCGTCACCCTTTCAAAGAAGGAAGTGGCTGTCAGTTCCGCTGATTTTCTTCCTTTACGTTTTTTTCTTTTTATTAAAAAAGAAAAACTCCAGGAAAAACGCCTGTCAGTTCCGTCGTTTTCTACTTCAGAAGTAATAAGAAGAGAACATTGAGAGATCGCGACCCTCATCATGACTGAATCTGGCCTGCAAGAACCTTACCATACACACAAAGTGTTACACGGACTACAGGTTTCTAAAAGCTTTCAGGCCAATGCGCAGCCTCCAAAAAAAAATTCGCTGTGCGTTTCTTATTTTACGCGAGCAGGGGGCCGGGTCTACTACCGCCCCTCACAACTTTTTTTTTTTTTTTTTAAACCCCCATTTTTGGAGGTGCACCGCATGCAGTGCGCGCACATCGTGCGGGATGCGCGGTGCGGCGCACGTGCGCAGTACAGCGCATCGCAATGCGCTGCATGTATGAGACAGATCTTCGGGCGCAGTGCAAGAGAACAAGACAGCAAATGCAGCACAAGGAAGAGAAGGCCTCGGAAATCACAAAGCGGTTTGAGCGAGACAGTCTTTGCAACGGCAAGTTAGCTCCAATAGGGACGGAGAGCGATTCAAACCCCTGATATTTTGTAATAGCCATTACTAATATGTCAGTTTTCAAAAAAAAAAAAAAAAAAAAGTCAGTTTTCAATACTGATAGTATCTGATACCTTCAACCACTCCGACATCCATCCAAAGCAAAGATGCCCCCCTTAAATAGCCATTACTGTCAAGAATAGGCAAATGGAAATTATAAATGATGTACATCTTCTGAGTATAACATAAAATAATAAGGTCGTAGTAA